CCTGCAAGTTTATCACCTTCGTTCATCATCCCCAGCGGAAATGAGGAATCCAACTCTATTCTCCGAGCAGCTCCGAGATTTATTTTCCCCAGCTAAAACATTATATTTCCATACATCATGATACATGCATAAGCGCATCATACCATACAATCTCATTTATGTTGAGAACATCATTGCTTGATCCATATCATGCATTGCATATGACCGACCTTTACCTTTCAGGAAAGATGCAGTTAAGATCTCAACCCAGTCAAAAGAGACAAGACCAGTTAAATCGATTCCTAAAGATTTTTCTGATGTGAACGCAGTCAAAGGAGACAAAACCAGTTAAATCGATTCCTAAAGATTTTTCTGATGCAAATGCAGTCAAAGGAGACAAAACCAGTTAAATCGATTCCTAAAGATTTTTCTGATGCGAACACAGTCAAAGGAGACAAAACCAGTTAAATCGATTCCTAAAGATTTTTCTGATGCGAACGCAGTCAAAGGAGATAAAATCAGTTAAATTGATTCCTAAATATTTTTCTGATGCGAACGCAGTCAAAGGAGACAAAACCAGTTAAATTGATTCCTAAATATTTTTCTAATGCCAATCCAGTCAAAAGAGACAAAACCAGTTAAATCGATTCCTAAAGATTTTTCTGAGGCCAATCCAGTCAAAGGAGACAAAACCAATTAAATCGATTCCTAAAGATTTTTTTGAGGCCAATTAAGTCAAAGGAGACAAAACCAGTTAAATCGATTCCTAAAGATTTTTCTGATGCAAACGCAGTCAAAGGAGACAAAACCAATTAAATTGATTCCTAAATATTTTTCTGATGCGAACGCAGTCAAAGGAGACAAAACCAGTTAAATCGATTCCTAAAGATTTTTCTGACGCCGATCCAGTTGAAGTTCAGACAACCTTTCTACAATCTCCAAATGGCATCTGTAAGCCCATTACCGGCATCACAATGCTGTTACCACTTCATGCGAGTGCAAATTTCTGGGCACTCTAGTGTTCAATCATCTTCCACCTTCGGATCACGAAAGGCCCGAAAGCCAATCTACATCCTCAGGTTTAAGAAAATTGAACAGGGGGAACTGTTGTACCCCAAAATTTGCCCTCCCATATTTCTCAAGACATGTCAAGAAGAATCCCCAAATGGCTCAAGATTGCTCAAGAGTTGGACAGTCAACCTATCTCCCAAGGCAGTCAACCTCAAATTAGGGTTTTGTGTTGCATCAAGGTCCTTACATCCAAATGACCTCAAGTGCTCCCCAATGTCCTAATATGTTCTCAAGTTCATCCATGACAAATTTCAAGCCTTGTAGAGGAAGCTTGGTCAGTCAATTGCTCAAGAGGTCCAAAAATCGATTGTGCTAGGGCAAAAGTCAACTGTGACCTACAAATGGTCAAACCTCAATATTTTTTGTCAACATTCTCATTTTGAAGGATAATTCATCATTTGATTAATGGTTGATCATGATTCATCAAGGATTGCTCAAAATTCATCAAGATTCAAAAGTTGTTAAATTAGGGTTTTGTAGGAAAGGTCAACTCAACTTTGACCAAGCATAACTTTCTCATAATTTATGAGAAATGACCCATACAAAGCTCATTTTGAAGAAGATGGAATTTCCTACAATCCATCTTCACACCCCAAGATCAAGAAATGCACTCACAAGAAGTTACAAAGTTGGACATTATAGGTCATTTTTGAAAGTCAACAAAAACACCTTTTTTTCCAAAGCTTATAACTTGAGCATGGAATATCAAAATGAAATGATACCAAAAGGGTTGGTTAGAGGACATATCAAGGTTTATAAAAAGTCTAATAACACCTCTAAAAGTTCAAAATTGAAGAAGATATGCATTGTTGAAGTTGTGCATTTTTTCAAAATTGCCAAAAGTCAACTATCCCAAAAACTTCAAATTTTGACAAATAGGCCCACTTTTTTCCACTTGATTTGATCTTGCCACACTACACACGTGTCCTATTTTCAATCTTGTATCCAATTATTAATTTTTCCATTTTATTTGATTTTTATTGAATTTATTTATTTTTAATCAATTTAAATCCAAATAAAATCTAAATCTTAGTCACTTGGAATCTTTTTTAGTGATACAAGTCTTTATTATCATCATGGACAAGAACAAACTCGAACCAAGCCATATCATGCACAAAACATTGGATTTGGGACATTTTTGGAAGCTTTATAATGGAGGATCATATCAAATCTTAAATCATCAATACACAAAGATTCAAAGCCCAAGACTTGACCTAATTGATTCCATTATACATATACAACACAAAGGCACGAAAATAAGGACCTAGAGGCTGCATAATCACCAATACCAAAACTTGAAAAAGCTTGAAAAAGTTGGAAACTGAAATCACATCTAGAGGCTGATTCAGAGCAAAACCTCCACGCTATCTTCTTGCTGGACATCCATTGAATCAAAACCAATCCTTTACAAGCCCTGAAACCTAATCAAACGCGCTGTAAGTCTCCTTGAACACCGCCCTGTACATGAAATCGAAATCTATCATTCTTGCATTTTTTTGACAAACCATGGACATATTCTTGATCCTTGAATGATTTCGAAACTTTCTGCAATACTTGATTTTGTTTTCATAGCCCATAATGCCATGCCCGAATCTAGGGTTCTTGTTTCTTGCTTTTGGGGGTTTTAGTTTCAGGAAAAATCAAAGCAAATAATGGACATAGCCATGTTCAGGAGGGAGAGACGAAGCGAACCATGGTCTTAGAATCAATTTTTATGGCCTGCAATTGATTTTAGGAGCAAGCTTTGGATTCAGCAGCGGATAAAAATCCGCATGTAAAAAACCAGGGATGAGTGGAGAAGACGATGACGCGTCTCTTCCCAATTCGTCCATTCATATTTCGCGCGTATTTTTTTAAATTTCTGGCATTTGTTTTGTTTTCCAATATAATAATTGCTGTCTATTATAATAACAAAAGCAGCATAGTGGCGCAGTGGCCAGGCGAGCGTACAAATTCCAATAGGACCTGGGTTCGAATCCCAGGTCCCCCAAATGACTATTATTATTTTTCTGCAGATGTTCCAGCGTGCCTCATAAATTGTAGTCCATCATGCTCCTTCAGATTCCAAGCGCCAGATGGCCTCCAGGCCAAATCTGATGGCCCAAGGGTGATATCCACCATACACCCAAGGTCAACGTGTCACATGGAGTTGCAAAAGTCAATACAGGCCTGCGCCTGTTGGGCCAAAGAAATGCCAATCTCACCTCCTGATCAGGCCCAACACCCCCCTTTTGGTTATTTCTTTTCTTTATATTTCTTTTATTTAATTGTTTTGTTAATTTATTTTTATAATTTCACTAACCAATCAATTTTTTCTCATAAAATAAAAAAAACACAAAAATATATTTTATTTATTAAAATTAATTTCATCACTTTATTTTGTAAATAAATTAATTAATTAATTTAGTTTTAATTAGGTTTAACCTTTAATATTTTTTGCAATATTTAAAATCAATGTAGAATATTAGGTTTTACTAACTTTAATCAAATTTAATTTATTTTCTTTAAATATCCAAAATCCAAAGATATCTTTTTCTTAATTAATTAATTAGTTTATTTATTTAATTAACTTAAATTAATTTCTTTTAATTCAAAAATAACAAAAAAAATGCTTTCTTTAATAAAAAGGGTGAAAACCCTAAAAAATGCGCCGATTTGATTTTCTCGCACGCGATCCATATTTTCATACTATTGTACTTGCTTTCGGAATGTAATAGCTTTAAATAGGACTTTAATTATTTATCGCTTTATTTTACTTTCCGCATTTTAATTTCAAGGGTTTGTTTTTGGCGATGTAAATACCCGACGCCTTGTAATAGTTTAGATTTAATTTCCTCAATTTAAATTCCGCAACTATATACTGTTAGATGTTTGATAATAGGGAATGCGTGACAAGATCAAATGTATGAACTTAAAATCTGTTAGAACATAGTTTGATTCTACAACCCTCAGTTAGAGTTTTGATGATAACAAAATACAAGATTAAATAAATTATAAGATTTATATAAGACATATATGCTACTTAAAATTATGTTGTGTATTTACAGAAACTCTGATGGAATCAGCATCAGAATATCAGTATCAACATCAACATCAGAAGATATGTCAGCATCAGAAGATCAAACATGTGCTATACACGAAATCCTGATGAACAGAATCTGCGCAAAACATACTCTGACTCTGAGCAAGATACTTACCATGTCACCAGTACTCTGAAGCGTCAGAATAAGCTAAAGCCAAGAACACTCTGATTTTCATTAAGCAGAACATTCTGAAGTGTCAACATTACTATGCATTCAAGATAGATTAATTACCAACGGCTTTATACCAAGACAAAGATCTTCTCAAAAAGGAAAGAGCGTTATGAGCATTGAAATGGATTTATGGACAGCAACGTATCTATTCCTAGGCTACTTAAACAAGTCAGTGAGAAAAGAATTGGCTAATACTCTTTACGCACGCACGCATACGAAAACTCTCTCACTCAAATTGCTAACGCTTTCAACCACGCCTACTCAATAGAATTAGCAGTCTAGTTTCATCTAAGCTTCATATTGTGTATTATCACAATTGTGATAAATAGTTCTTGTAAGAAAACATCAAACACACATTTGTTCATTTATCTGTAAAAGAATTTCCTTGAGATAAACCGGTCTGTGGTTAGACTCAAGAAGGCTTTGACAGTTGTTAAAGCAGTTGTGTATTCAGTTGAATATAGTGGATTAAGACCTCATTGGAGAGAGGCGAAATCACCTTGATGGGTGGACTGGAGTAGTTTGAGATCAAACGAACCAGGATAAAAATAACGTGTTGTCTGCTTTTGATTTCAAGTTTTACAATTCAACCCCCCTTCTTGTGTTTTTCACATCTTCAATTGGCATCAAAGCGCCTGGTTCTGAGCTTATAACACTTAACCGTGTCAGTACAAGATCCAGCGTTAGAAAAACACTATGGCAGGACCACATCAAAACATCAGCAATGACAACAATGAAGAAAGAGACAGATTTAGTGGCAAACCTCCAGTCTTTGATGGAGAGAACTTTGATTACTGGAAAGACAGAATTGAAAGCTTCTTTCTGGGGGATATGGTGACTGATAGATACACGCACCCAGTGAATGCAAGTGGTCAGAAGATTGACAGGAAAGCAATGTCTGATCAACAAAAGCGTGATTTCAGAAATCATCACAAAGCAAGAACAATTCTTCTCAGTGCCATCTCTTAATCTGAATATGAAAATATATCAAACAGAGACACTGCCAAGAATATGTTTGACTCTCTGAGAATGACGCATGAAGGCAACATTCAAGTTAAGGAAACTAAAGCTCTTGTGCTCATTCAGAAGTATGAGGCATTCAAGATGGAAGAAAGTGAATCAATTGAAACGATGTTCTCAAGATTTCAAATTCTGGTGGCTGGTCTCAAAGTTCTGGACAAAGGGTATTCTACTGCTGATCATGTTAAGAAGATCATCAGAAGCTTGCCAAAACAGTGGAGGCCAATGGTCACAGCGCTGAAGCTAGCTAAGGATCTCAACAAAATCTCTCTGGAGGAACTTGTCAGCTCCCTCAGAAGTCACGAGATAGAGCTAGAAGCTGATGAACCCCAAAAGCAAGGTAAGCCATTAGCTTTAAAGTCTAACAGAAAATCTGACTCCAAAGTTTTGCAGGGTGTAGAAGAAACCTTTGATGGGTCCTCATTAGAAGAAGATGAATTGTCTCTCCTCTCCAGAAGGGTGAGCCAACTGTGGAAGCAGAGGCAAAGAAAGTTCAGGAATCCAAGAAGATTAGAGAATCAGAATGAATCCTCCTCCAGATACAGAAGGTCAGAATCCTCCTCTGGACACAGAAGATCTGAAGGCTCTTCAGGAAGCAGAAAGCCAAACAACAGAGATATCATCTGCTATGAATGTAACGAGCAAGGACACTACAAGAGTGATTGCCCAAAGCTTCAGAGGGAAAAGCCCAAGAAGAAGTTTGGCAAGGAAAAGAAGAAAAGTCTCATGGCTACATGGGATGACTCAGACACATCTGAAGTTGACTCAGAATCAGATGATGAGAGAGCAAACATAGCTCTCATGGCAAACATAACAGAAGACAGTGAAGCTTCTGAATCAGACTCTGAATCAGACACAGAAGAGGTATTTCCTGACTTTGCTATTAATTTTACTAAGGCTGAACTAGCTGAAAGCCTTAATGAAATTCTGGAAAGATATCAGCAGATCAGAGTCAAATTCAGAAACCTAAAAAGGAATCTTGCTTCTGATTCTGATAAAACTGAGAGTCTCAAATTGGAGAATTCTGAGTTGAAAAATAAAAATTCAAAATTAGAAAATCTATTACAAAACTCTTAGAAGGAAACAATCCCTGAAACTCCCAGCAGTGCTGATGAGATCATCAAGGAGTATGATCACATCATTCAGAAGTTTCTAGCTAAAAACATAGATAGAAGCAAGATGGCTTCAATGATCTATGGAGTTAGCAGAAATGGCAGAAAAGGAATAGGATACCAAGGTAAGGTACCTACACCAAGGAATGCCATGGATTTAGTGATAAAATGCACTTCACTCGATTCTCACTTTGTATATGGGCACACACACGACATCACATATACTAGTAGTAATTATTCTGTCAAACCAAAATTCAACCAGAGTTTTGGTAAAACTAACAAATCAGGACCCAAGAAAATATGGGTACCTAAGGATAAAATAATACATGTTGCAGATATCTTTAGCAGCAAAGCAGAAACACCAGTCATGGTACCTGGACTCTGGCTGCTCACGACACATGACGGGAAGAAAGCATATGTTCCAAAGCCTGGAACTTAAGCCTGGAGGCCACGTAGGCTTTGGAGGCAATCAGAGGGGAAAGATCATTGGCTCTGGAACAGTAGGTAACAAAAATCTTCCCTTTATAAGTAATGTTTTGTTAGTAGATGGATTAATGCATAACCTGTTATCCATAAGTCAATTAAGTGATAACGGTTATGATATAATCTTTAATCAAAATTCATGTAAAGCTGTTAGTCAGAAAGATGGGACTATCCTGTTTAATGGAAAGAGGAGAAACAACATTTATAAAATCAAACTTTCTGAACTGAAAAGTCAGAATGTAAAGTGTCTTCTGTCTGTTAACAACGAGCAATGGATATGGCACAGAAGATTGGGGCATGTTAGTATGAGAAGAATATCTCAGGTTAACAAACTAAATCTGGTCAGAGGACTTCCTAACCTGAAGTTCAATTCAGATGCTCTGTGTGAAGCATGTCAGAAAGGCAAGTTTGCAAAACCAGCTTTCAAACCTAAAAACGTTGTTTCCACCTCTAAGCCATTAGAACTTCTGCACATTGACTTATTTGGACTAGTTAGAACTGCTTCAGTCAGTGGCAAGAAGTATGGGTTAGTAATCGTAGATGACTATAGCAGATGGACATGGGTAAAGTTCTTAAGACACAAGGACGAGTCACACTCTGTGTTTGTCACCTTCTGCAACCAAGTTCAGAATGAAAAGGATCTTAGAATCGTTAAAGTCAGAAGTGATCATGGTGGAGAATTTGAAAACAAAGATTTTGAGTCATTCTTTAATGACAAAGGAATTCTGCATGATTTCTCTTGTCCTAGAACTCCCCAGCAAAATGGAGTTGTAGAACGAAAGAACAGAACATTGCAAGAAATGGCCAGAACCATGATCAACGAGACTAACGTTGCTAAGATCTTCTGGGCAGAGGCAATAAATACAGCGTGCTACATTCAGAATAGAATCTCTATAAGACCTATTCTGGAAAAGAGTCCATATGAATTGTGGAAGAACAGAAAGCCCAAAATTTCTTATTTTCATCCATTTGGATGTACTTGCTTTATTTTGAATACTAAGAATTATTTGAACAAGTTTGACTCTAAATCACAGAAGTGTATTATGTTAGGATACTCTGAACGCTCAAGAGGGTACAGAGTATACAACACAGAAACACAGATTATGGAAGAATCAATCAGTGTTCGTTTTGATGATAAGCTTGACTCTCAAAAGTCAAAGCATAATGAATTACTTGCAGGTATGGAAGTTGAATTCATAGGTACTGAAGACAAGTCATCAGAAGCTCTTAACAGAGACACTCCCTCAACATCAGAAAGAGGCACTGCAAGCAATCCAGCATCGTCTGTTGATCAACTTCAAAAAAGACCATCCAAAAGCAGCATGGATCACCCAGAAGAAACAATCTTAGGAAGAAAGGAAGATCCAATCAGAACAACAGCCAGCTTCAGAAACTCTGAAGAATCCCTCATGGGACTTGTCTCTCTGATTGAACCATCAACAGTTGATGAAGAACTTCTGGACAATGACTGGATTCTAGCAATGCAAGAGGAGCTTAATCAATTCACAAGAAATGACGTATGGGATCTAGTTCCCAAACCAAAAGGATTCAACGTCATTGGAACAAAACGGGTGTTCAGAAACAAACTGAATGAACAGGGTGAAGTCATTAGAAACAAGGAACAATTGGTAGCACAAGGTTATAGTCAACAAGAGGGGATAGACTATACAGAAACCTTTGCTCCAGTAGCCAGGTTAGAATCTATCAGACTTTTAATTTCTTTTGCTGTAAATAAAGGCATCACTCTGTATCAGATGGATGTTAAGAGTGCATTCTTAAATGGATAAATAGAAGAAGAGGTATATGTGCACCAACCCCCTTGTTTTGAAAGTTCAAAAAATCCAGAATATGTTTTCAAACTAAAGAAGTCACGGTATGGTCTGAAACAAGCTCCCAGAGCTTGGTATGAAAGACTGAGTAACTTCTTGTTAGAAAAGGAATTCACCAGAGGGAAAGTGGACACAACCTTATTCTGTAAGACAGTTAAGAATGACATCTTGGTATGTCAGATTTATGTTGATGATATCATTTTTGGATCTACTAAACCTTCTCTGGGAAGAAAGTTTGCTAAGTGTATGCAGGCAGAATTTGAGATGAGCCTAATGGGGGAACTGAAATTATTTATGGGCATTCATATCAATCAAACCCCAGAAGGAACTTACATTCATCAGAGCAAATATGTCAGAGAACTTCTGAAGAAGTTTGATCTCTCAGAATGTAAGCCATCAAAGATTCCAATGCATCCCACGTGCATTCTGGAAAGAGAAGAGGTAAGCAAAAAGGTAGAACAGAAGGTCTACAGAAGTATGATTGGTTCTCTTCTTTATCTGACAGCTTCAAGGCCTGATATTTTATTCAGTGTATGCATTTGTGCAAGATTCCAATCAGATCCTAGAGAATCTCACTTAACAGCTGTTAAGCGAATTTTCAAGTATCTGAAAGGTACTACTAATCTGGGTCTGTTTTATAGAAAATCAAGTGATTACAGCTTAGTAGGATACTGTGATGCTGACTTTGCTTGAGACAGAGTAGAGCGTAAAAGCATTTCTGGAAGCTGTCAGTTTCTGGGAGAAAATCTGATCTCATGGTCCAGCAAAATACAATCCACAATTGCTCTATCAACAGCAGAAGCTGAATACATAGCAGCAGCTGGATGTAGCACACAAATGCTCTGGATGAAAAGTCAACTTGAGGACTTCCAAATATTTGAGAGTAACATTCCTATCCTCTGTGACAACACTTCTGCTATTTGCTTAAGTAAAAATCCAATTTTGCATTCTAGGGCTAAGCATATAGAAATAAAACATCATTTTATTAGGGACTATATTCAGAAAGGGATTTTAAATTTTAAATTTATTGACACAGACCATCAATGGGCCAATATTTTCACAAAACCACTTTCTGAAGATAGGTTCAACTTCATTCTGAAACATCTCAGCATGAAGCTCTGTCCAGAATAAAACTGTTTTAATTTTATATATTAACCTTCAGAATTGTGTTTATTTCTCTGTGAACTTCTGATCAATCCTCTTTCAGAATTTTAGAAATGCAGATTGTATCTGAATTTATCCATGAAGATCTGAGCGCTTCAGTTCAAGGATAGATGTGCTGTTCACTCAAGCAAACAAGTGTCATCCAGTCATCAGTTGTTTCCTGAGGCTGAACACGCGTTCACGCTTCTGAAAAGGCAAAGTGCTGATTGGATGCATTGAGACACATGTCATGGGTAACCGTTTAAGTATCTTTCTGAATCCCCTAAATTCAACTATCATTAAATGCTAATAATCATTATTTATTTCTCTCTCTTAAACGTTTATGTTTTCAAAAACTTTTTAGAAATCTATTTAAACACTT